TATATATTGATACAAATTCTTAGCATAGTCAAGTATTGAATCATGTGCTAACTTGTTAAGTCACAGACTAACTAAGTAAATATTAATATAGTTAAAGTGTGAATGCAAATATCGGTTTATGTAAAACATTTCATATTTACTTAATAATTTATCATCTCTATTTACAGTGGTAGCAATTTTAAGCGTCAAAATACTATAGACTCAGCAACCATTAAGGAGAATACGGCACGGCTGGCCGCACAGAATCAGAGACCAGCGTCTGCCACACAGAAGATGCTAACCACAACAGATACATGTAACTGGCTGTTTGCTTATCTCACACTCTCTTGCAATGGCAATCCATTAATCTATTTAATCTCTGTTTATTACAGCGCTGAACAGTCCAGCTAAGCCGCGTACAGCTGCGAAATACGATCCCACTAATGGCAATCGCACAGTTAGCGGTACGAGCGGCATTATACCACGACGTTCGACCACACTCTATGAAAAGACTTCATCGACGGAGAAAACCAATGTTATTCCTGCAGAGACAAAGTACGTGAATGTGGTAACACTTCCACCCATTGTTGGCACACCAATGATTATTTTCGATTATCATTTGTCTAATTTTCCAATTTATGCATTAGTTCTTTGGTATTGTTATTGTCGTTATTTCAAACTGTTATTCGTTGGTCGACTCGCAGATTTTTTTTTAGTTGGACAACCAGACAGACAGTTAGTGCCTCTCGCTCGCTAGTTTTATATATTCTCATCAGTATATATATATATATCTATCTATATTTCTTCTCAGTTTGCACATATTTATGGTTAGTTTATCAAGTATATAAACAGATAATGTTATGTTGTGAATAGAGCATATGTACATATCTAGTTTATCAGTATATATATTACTATATACATCTCTCTCTATATATATATTGCTGCGCACAAATTCAGTTTTTCCCTATTTATTTCTAAGTTGCAAAACCAAAAATCAATTAACAAATATCTCTTTTGTTCACATATATATATAACTATATATTTTCGTAAATTGAGGTGTGCGGGTTATGTTTTTCAAAATGTATATGTTTAGTTTTAAAAACCAACAAAAAAAAAAACACAAACGATCAAAAATACTCAGCTCAATCCATTGCAACTCGAATGACAATGACTACAACATATTTACAACTTTTTGCCAATTTTTCGACTAAACATATATGTATAAACGTAACCAGTAGTGGATCTGCAGCTACCGCTGGAAAGGGTCACACAAAAAGCGCCTCTATTTCAAGCCCTAGGCCATCCACTGATGGATGCATATCAGTATCAATTGACCCACTTGGATCGAGGTATACACTTGCATCATACATTAGCAAAAACCAAAAAAACAAAATCCATTTTAAACTAATTTTTATCGAATTGTATACAAACAATTTATAATTATTGTTCATTTTACAAAGACATTTTATTTATGCTCTGATTTAAAAACCAAATTGGCTGCTTAATTTTGTTTAACTCTTTTATGATTTGAGTCTATATTTAGCAAAGGTTTTATCTTTTCTTATATGTAGAGCAGAATTAATTCGATTCATTTCTCAAATCTCTTAACACACTTGATATTGATAGATAAATTGACGCAGGTGTTAGTAGGGCAGTTTATAAATTGGAAAACGACGACAGTCCGACAGTCGAAATGTTTTTATTTGTATTTATATTTTTTGTGTGCTCGTCCCAAATTCAAAAACTCACAATGTTGAAGATTTTTAGCTTTTCGTTAATTAGTTTTTGACATTTGTCCTGCAGCTGAATTGTTGCATGTTTGCCTGCATCTGGATTCATTTAAGTGTGTGTAGTCTTTGATTTAAATATAATTATACATTCGAATAGATTATGAATTTTGATGAAACTGGAGAAACTGGAGCAGTCATAGAGGAAGTGAACTTAGCAAACACACATTTGATTAAATACTTTAGTATGTACTAAAATGCAGAGATCAAGATTTTTGGCTAACCCAAAATTTATATATTCTGAAAGACATTATCTACCACTTATACAAATATCTGTATACGAAATTTAGGTCTACATACATATAAAGTAGGTTTTCTAAAGTTCAGAATTCACAGAAATTATTGGAAAAGCGAGACCTTTCAATTTATGCTACAAGCTCAGTCTTTTTCCTCACCATATATAAAAGCAGGTACAGGTAGTTCTCTAAATCGAACAGGTATACCTGCCGAACTATTTCATTATTTTAAGAACAGAGCAATTTTCTTATAAAACAAATATGTGATTCTTCTAGTAATTGTTTCACTTTCGTTTTATGTCTAGAATTGCTTTACTTATTTAGTAATCGTTAAAGGTTTCTGTTATTCGTTTAGCTCAAATGTGAATATAATAATATTCATGTGGTCCTTCTCGTATAGTCTGCTTTTGTTTGTTTACAATTTTGTATAATATATTCGTTTAGCTACAGATTCGTTGCGCTCTTTACTAATCCCCATTGAATTTCGAGAGAAAAAAAGAAAACAATGTAGAAATGTGTTTGGTTTAATTTGTTTATCTCTTTTTATTATAACACTCTAACAAATTTGATCCATTAAATAATGTAAATTTCTTATCTTTTCATGTTTTATACAATATTGAACAATAACTGTTTATAAACCAATTGTCTAATTTTGATAACTACCACACTACTACTACTACATACATCCAATCTTTGTGGCGATCAATCGAACAAAAAACTCTACAACAATCTTCTTCGTATTATCGGTGTTCGTAAAAACTTTTATCTTTCACATTTTGTTTACCAACAACAACAACAACAACAAATCAAATGCAAATCAAAATCTTGTTAAATATGTGATTTCCAATTCGAATTGTCGATTCGAATAAAACATAATTAATTTTGGATTCGTAAACCCCGAACCGATCTGATCCGATCCGACCCGAACCGAACAAACTTTGGTGAGTGAAATTGCAAAAACAAAAATATATTTTAAGCGAGACAAATCTATAAGTATACTAAATAATTTAGCGTAATTCCATTTAAAATTGCTTTACACATATTGTGGCATGCGCGGTATTAAGTCCAAATAATATATATTCTTCTTCTATTTGTTATTTTTGTTATACTTAAACCTAAACGAGATATTGTCTGTTAATGCGCTGAAACCAAACTTTATATGAATGTATTTATGTGTCTGCTTAACATTTGATGATGACAATGATGTAGGTAGTTCCTAACGAGATTTGCTACTCACATAGATCGACAACATAGATCACGTAAATTCTTCATTCTGCATGACTGAGGCTCCAGTTCCCGAGTAACTTCACTTCCGACAATTTGTACTCATTGGTAGATCGAAAAATACTCTCTCTATTATATATTTATATATATACCCATAAGTTGATGTTGTAAATTCTTTGTGCAAGAATCATCGATTGTGTCTATTTCTCTTTCCACATCTCTGTGTACCTATCTATCTAACTACCTGTATAATCTTTTTTATATTTTTACTACATCTTTTACTGGATCTCTTGAACACATATCTAAATACTAAGTAATACAGAAGGCAAACTAATATAAATTAATATGTTTACTAGGCCCAGCTCTACTATAGCTGCTATGTATGAATGTTAGGATTACGTAATTATAATAAAAATAAATATAATGGTATATGGTTTTCAACTAGTCTTGTCCATATATATACTTTGCTTATTGCTTAACGCCTAGTTCCTCTCCATTCATTATATCAATTTTCAAAGCTTGGACGTTTTATTATCGAGTACATCTCATATATATCATCCATTTAAGGACTGTTTCAGACTTTACCGGATATATCCACTCAATAAATTGATTTTCGTCTGAACTCTTTTTGCTATTAGTTTCCATCATTAATTCAAATCTTTGCTTTAACCAACTCTATTATATAGTAAACTTCTAATTTTTAATATAATTTCTATAATATAAGAACGTAATTTTAAGAGCTCGTTTTTTCTTTTGAACAAAATTTATATGATTGATTTTTTTTTTCAATTTTTTCTTTTCATTATATTTGTGTGTCTACCAACATGATTACAAAAATAAACCCAAAATATAAACAATCATAAACCGTTACCGAAAACCGTTGCCAAACCACATCACATTTATCAAAATATATATATAATCTGCTTGATTCGCGCTTGATTCTCGTCTGTATATATATTTTGTCATTGCGCCAAATTGAAACTACAAATTAATATTACGATTGATAACAACAATAACAAATACAACCAAACAATGATACGATGAAACACTATTGAATACTTGCCCATCACTACGGATTGGAAAATAATCGATATCGAAATTGTAATCGAACTCATACGCTGATTTGATGATGACAAAAACACACACACACACACACATGAACCGTATCCCACTTCACTCACACAAACACACACACATCAAAACGAATTTGAATTTGCCTGTCTATATTAACGGTCAAAACACACACACATTGCACAATATATCAAATGATAAAACTATAAACTGTTATATATATATATAATATATATAAAAAATACATTCGTTTTCTGATATATGCAATTCATTGGACTATATATAACTACGAACTGACTGAATGATTCGATCGATATCCATTCATACGTATGTGTGTGCATACATGTATTGTACTTGTACAAATATATATATATATATGCAATAAATACAATATATATATATATAGTCTGTTCGATCGACTTAGAATGGCATCGGCTGTTAAATCAAGCAGACACTTTCCAAGGAATGTTCCATCACGTTCAACCTTTCACTCTGGTGAGTTTTTCTGTTTTAATTATTTTTATTAGTTTTAGTAAAACTTAACTTAATTTTACTCACAACTTTACTAAAAAAAACCAAACATTTTATATAGACTAAATTAAATAATAATATCGAATTACCAAACTATCGAATTTCGTTAAGTTTCTTTTTTCCATGTTTATTTGTTTCTCTTTTCATTAAATCATAAAAAGAAAAAAAATATGTAAATTTTATAAGCACGTAAAATAAATAAAAAATTAAATTTAAGACTTAATTATATGAATGCTCCATTATTATTATTACTATCAATATAAATATTTATATTATTCTTAAAATCATTCTTATTATTATTATTGTATGCTAATTTGTGCTTTGTTGTTGTCTTATGCATCCGTCCAACATCGCTTCTCATCTTTTAGTGGATTGCTTTTCCTTAATTTACTGTTCGTTTTGATCATGCACGATTGTCCAAATCGAAAGAGATGCATTACTATACTATATCAAACATAAACATTACGATAATTGCACGTAGGTGCTTCAAGCCAACAACTATTTATATATTCTAATGTACAATACTATAAATTATCGATAAATATATCGTTTTTAATAAATCTTAGTATATATATTATTATGTAAGACTGTTGGAAAGGAGAGAAGGAGGTATTATTTTCCGGTATTATATTAGTA